TACACTTTTCATAGATGATGTTCTTAATCACTGCTGGGGACAAGGGATTGGAAATAACTTCTTCCTCTTGGCCAAAAGCTCCAAGTGTCACCTGCAGTATGTTAGAAAAAACTCAGAAGACTTGGACAGGAACAAAAGCATAAATAATTCAGAAATTATGCTTAATGAACTCTGCTCTTGCTAAAATTTCACAATATAAAAATAATCTGCTTTCAGTGACTTCTGATTGTTAATACTGTTAGAAGATTCTAATCTGTTTTTAATCTACTGTCAGTGAAACACAGCAACTTGAATTTTTCCTGTCTAATGAATTATCTTATAGAGAGATAAAAGGAATTGATGAAAGCAAGTTAGATTAAAAACATGGAAAAAAAGAAAAGCACCAGCACTCATGCTGCATGCCCATGCAGCTTGCCCTGCAGCTATGCAGCACCAGAAGCACACAGCCAGAGCTCAGTCTGGAGTAAGGTAAGGACAGAGCATTGCATATAGATAAATATACACGTATACATGCTACACTACAAAAAATACGTAATAATTAAGTAGTGTTGCTTGGAGACAGCTCCATAAACGTAATTTTTAAAAGTCCTGCTTAGGAAAGGAAGAAATGCTGAGGATTAAGCTCTGGGGCAGAAAACTAGAATTTTGAAAGACTTCTTCTTAACGGGTTGTTCTTTGTGAAAAATCAATTGGCACCCATCTGTCTTATTGTGTTCAGTTACAGAGAGTTTGGCTGTATCAACTGATCTTTAAAAGCTGAACTTTACTACTTGAATCCATCTCTTTTCTTGAAAGAAAGCAAGGGGGAAAAAATTAAGGATTTACACAAAACATGCCCTTTCCCTTTCTTACCCAGATTGTACACTGGACTGCCTGCTTAATATGGCTTAATATTACACCATTAAAGCAAATTAATTAGCTCTCGCCATATGTAAGTACTACTTAGAATATCTTATTTTCCTCTTTCTCGATAAGGATTTTTAAACTATATTGTATTACTAAAAAAAGCAACATAAAATAATAGGCTCTTTCAGTTTGAAGGCCTTTATTTTCTCTATTATCATTCCTTAATACATTTCTCAAAAGTCAAAACTTACCTGCTTGCCCTGAACTAAAACATTAGTAATAGATGGTGCAAGGCTGTCCACTAGTTTACCTAAAAGACTTGCTGCGAAGCGCACAACAGACCTGAGGGCAGAAAACAGAGCAGTCCCACTACATATCAAAAGCTAGTTTAATGAATTCATTATAATTTTGAACCACATGGAGAAATCACCAAATTAACTTTAAAATGCATATATTATCTATAATGTGGACTTCAGGTCAGATTTTATATAATATTCTCAGGATTTTCATTAGTCTCTAGTCAAAATATAGATTAATAGATTAAAAATAAATTTAGGTAGAAGTCATTAAACTACAAACTTCATTAAAAAAGCTTCTTGTTCTCTTTTCTGGCATCATCTGAAGAACAGACAAGTCAAAGATATCAGCTGTTGTTTTGTGACATATTTTCCAATAAGGTTAAAAAATAACACTAAGGCTTTTTTTTGTGTTTGTTTTGTTTTGTTTGTTTTGTTTTTTGTTTTTTCCACATCAAGTTAATAATTCACATGTATAGCATGAAGAGAATCATGTAAACTACAAGTTTCAAAACTAGCTATAACTTTCAAAAACAGCGGGTAAATTAAGAAATGGTAATGTTTAAAAAATAATTGTTTTAAGAATATTTTCCTGCCAAAATAGAAACACAATGAATCATTTAGCATTTTCTAGCACAGGCTTTGTAGCTGCAAAAAAAATTATGTATCAACAGAGCTAGTGAACAAGCTGTAATATTTTATAATGTTAGTATGAAATTCATCAACCAGTTGGCGTTGATTCCTGTGAAGACTGCAGTGCACCTTAAAGATAGAGAGCAAAGCATTTCAAAAATGCATGAGCTGATACCATCATAGTGCAAATAAAAAGCCAGAAAAAAATCTCATGAAGCTCCATGTCAGACCTCTGGGCACTTTACCTGTTTCCCATGTACCAGTAAGGTAGTAATATGTGGGGCTATAGAAGAAGAAAATTTCTGTACAAATGCAGCACTGTAGCGCAACACCAGCCTATGTGTGTCACATGGCAATCATGGAAGAGAAACGAAAAACAGTTTATATGGCTTGTTTCTAAAAATGATCCTGATTTTTATTTATTAAAATGTCAACAAGGCAGGCATCTACTGTATTGGCAAAGGTCCATTTAACTGTATGAACAAACTAAAAGGAAAAACAGAAAACAGTTTGTAAATTTGCAAACTCATCTCTTAGTGGTGCTTACAGAGCAAGAGAACAGATTCCAGGACAGGCTCACATCATTTCTTTGATAATAAGAAATGAAATTTCTACTAAGCTTCAGGACAAACAGATTAATAAACAATGTTAAATACCAGCCCACTTGCTGAAGCCTTTTGATGTCAGAGTCAAACCAAATTATTTCAGGATAATAAGCAACTAATTATGTAAGTTTAACACTGTTTTCATTTGAAAAACCAACCTTAACTACATAAAGCTATTGATGTTATTTTACCAAGACCTAAAATAAATTTCAAAATGTATCTTTTTCATTATTTGATTTCAACTAGAAATCTTCTGCAAATAAAAGTACAAAAATAGTTTACTGCTGTTTTATGTTCAAAAAGTTCCTACTAAAGAAATACCCCCTAAATTTTAACCATTATGGACAAGACATTCACCTGCACTAAAACATGACAATTTCATCAGTAAGGCTGTCCTTTTTATCCCTTTTTAATATGTAAGGATCTGGCTTTACTTATGCTGGTGTAAAACAAAAGAAACATGATGATAACTGTATACAAACCAGAGTTTTTTGCTGCCAGCTCGTCTGTAGATTCTTTCAATATGGTCAGCCACTGTACCTAAACACGTTTTAAAAAAAAAAAAAAAGTAGGAGTGAAGAGCACTGATTCTACGTCACATCAAACAAGCTTCAGAGAAGTCATGAAGTATAGGAAGATCTTTGTTACTCCAGGATGTTGTACTAAGATAAAATGCGCTGGACAAGATCCTCAGGGACAAGTAGGACTCCAAAGCAGCAGTATGTTGTTGATCTGCTTTTATCGTTGTGTCTTAGCAGGGGATATGGGAGGTTGTTAGCGAAGGTGAACAGTAATTCATTGAAAGGTTCTGGGTCCTTATGAAGCCTCCATATTCAGGATGAAGCTCTATATTTGTTTAAGTTCCTAGTCATTGGGTTGAGCTTTCAAAAGGAAAACAAATCCTAACAAAGCTCAGAAAGTTGACACACGGTCCCATTTCCATACACAAGTAGCAGTCAGAGCCTGCACAGACTCATGCCTATGCAAGTCATAGACTAATGGTTGTTTTAAAAGGCAGCCAAAGGGACTGGCATTCAGTAAGAATGCCCACCAAGAGAAGTCTGACAGCTGTGTTACAGCAGGACTAATTGGTCCAGCTGCATTATTACATGACAGTGCATTAGGCAGAACAATAGGTAAATCTCCCATGCCACCCATAGATGATTGTGGTGCAGTAGCCTGCTACAGTGGTATCTATTCGATTACGTAGGGAATACAGTGAGGACTGTTATGTTGAATGTTCCATCATTTAAGTTTGAGTTAGCCTCTAGAATTCATGCTAGTCCCTCAGTGGTGAACTCCATCTACGGCAGTAGTGAAAGTTGAGTCACAAAATCACAGCCTAAGGATACAAAGCCTACTGTCTGTCAACTAGAACTTCAGCTTTTATTTTGGGGTTTATTTTTTATTGACTGTATGATTATTTAATGTCAGTTTCAGTAATCTCCATTCAGATAAGGTTAGGAACTTTAGTCAGTGACTCAGACCATTCAATACAAGGTGCATATTAAAAAGGTTATCACCACCTACTGCTTCATCTTGCATAGAACAAAAAGACCTAGTATGTATTAACTCTAAAATCAGAGGCACAACAGTATTTTCTCAACCTAAACATTATCAAGTAGGGTTTTTTTGTTGTTGTTCATTGTCCCTATGTAATGGTCAAAAATGGCTGTATGTTGGTTGCTCGTGCAGTTTAGAAAGTGTGCTTCAAGGTGTTTCCAGAGCAGGGAAGGTTGCTGCTATGGTTCAACAACAGTACAGATAACAGTGCTGCAAAGTTCACTTAAAAGCCCAAACATGCATTGTGTGCCGATGCGGACCATGACTTTGGATTCAGGTTGGCCAACATCCAATCCAATGTTGAAATACAGCGATGTTTTTTCGGCTCTGTATTGTTTCCAAGACCTTTTTAATATAGCAATCCTGATACAATATCTACAATACAGTTGTCAACATGACAACTCTTCATCACAAGTACCAGCTGTCTCCTGTCAAAATTATGAAGCAGGGATCTAAAACATGAAGTGGCAGGTTGCACTGCTTGAGAAAAAAGATCAAGTAATATTTCTATTTTTTTTGTTTGTTTGTTTTTGGTTAGCATCCCCCTCTTTCTGAAAGGAGGCAAAGGCAGCTGAACAAACAAGAGTCTTTAGGGGGAAAAGGAGGAGCTTGCAGCACATAAGCCACAAGCCAGAAGCCTAGCAGGATATTCTGCATGATTTTAAATGATTTTAAAACCTACTCTCTGCTACATGAAATTAAAGCAGGATAAACTACAGATATAAAGTCAGATTACATAAAATTTAAGAAATAATCAGTATAAAGCTCCATACATTTCAGACTGATACAGTTATACAAAGGGTCTTGAATTGCAGTTTAATACAGAAGGTCATGTGCATTTTTTATATGTAAATGTTCAGAATTGTAAACAGGCACAGAAGCTGCATACAAACAATCTAAAAGAGTACATACATTTTGCAGCTCATTCCACTCTATGAATGTGCACATCCATTTAAAGTAGAAATTGCTTTAATGATGAAGAAAATAGCTATGTAAGTGTTTGCATGCATGGCCATTATTCATGTTCATTAGAAGCACACAGACAGCTGCTTCCTCAAATATTCAGAATAGTCAAATGAAAGTAGCTCTTACCTTCTTTTGTGATGAAATACGGTCCTTCCCTTTTGAGTAAAATATTCAAGAGTAATGCTTGACTTGCTAGGCAATTGCAATCCTAAGAAAACAAAACCCCAAACCCCAACCTTCAGATTTGCAATGACGCAAAGATAGCCAAGCTATTACAAATTTGAAATTAAACGAGAGGGCCTTTTTTTTCCTCAAGTTAATTATAAAATTCATTTTTGAGAGGGAATGTTCCTTCATTGCAACTATTTAATATTCTATGTATCCCCTATCCTTTTCACTCCTTATTGCAGAGGCTGCTCTAGCTTCATACTAAGTTGTAGTCATTTGACCTCAAAAATATTTCCTGATTTTCTGCTCTAGGCTTTTGTCATTTACAGCACAGATGTGAACCACATAGAATAACTGATGTGCTCCTGCTGAACTAGGATACTTGAACTAGAAACAGTCACTGATAGTCACCTAAACACAGGAAAAATACAAGATTGGAACTCTCGCTCACTATTAAAACTCAGTCTATCATAATGAATACCTACTGCTGAAGGTTTTTTTAATTTAATTTAGAAATAAAGTACTTATTCATATGTTGCATGACAAATTGCTGCCCTTTTAGACAGTCATGTATTACCAGAGAAAGATTTGGATAGCTGGGAAAAACAAAAGCCAATAATTAAAGCATGAAGGATCAGTTCTATAAGGTTAAGGACTATGAAGAGCCAAATTCCTTGGAGATGAAGAATATCAGACATTATATGTTATTACTTATATTTAAAAAGACTCTAGACACATGACAATCATTGACATTAAGCCATATCAGTGATGATGTTGATCTCAGTAGGCTGCTGTAAAGAAGAGTACCAGCACATTATTTATCACCTCATAAGCATTAAATTATATTGTATTTTTATCAAGTTTTCTTACACTCAGTTTCTGAAGAATCTCATATGTTGACTTGTTTTTCCAGTCATTAATGTTTATATCTGGTTGCTGTTCAAGTTCAGAAACATTTGGAGTACTAGACTGTCTCTTGACTTTTGAATGTTTTGGAAGATCCAACTCCTCCAAGCTCTTAAATACAGGTGTCCTAAAAAATAAGTATGTAATTTCTTCACAGTTCAGAAAACATAATTATCAAATACTTTATCATTGTTATTTACATATAGCCTTACTCTTCTGTTTCAGCAATTCTTAGGAAGTCAAGTTGTTCAACTACTGCTCCAGATATTAATGTCTGAAATTAAAAATCAACAATTAAAATTGAAAAAAATCCATAGATGCATATATATCTATATACATGTATTGATCTATATATTTATATAGTGGTCATTTGATCTGGTAGCCAAATTCTCTATCTTTCTGGTGGTTTACTTTAGGAAAGTAGTTGCTCTATCTACAGTCCCACATATCTTTATACTTCATATATTTTTCCCCCTCTTTCTTAAGGTCTTACTTAAGAAAGCAAGAAATCTCTCAGGCCTAATGTCTTTTTTTTCTGGGGTTCTGCTACTCTTTTGCTTGCTCCATAAAAAAACACAAAAATAAAACAAAAAAATACACCCCACTGGTCTGAGAAAAACATCTGAGATTGCAAGTTTCACATTCCTTAGTCTTGCACGATACCTATATTTTGGACCATAATTCCCATTTATTCAGGTATCTCACAGGCTATTTCACCTATGAATCTCACAAAATGATATTTTACAAAAACATAGCATAAAAGCATTTCCTAGTCTGCAGCAATTCCTTAATCTAAACACGCTGCCGAATTTTACACATCACGTGCAGCATACAAATATCTTGCATTCAAAAATTTTATGTACATTATCATTCCCTCCAAGTTTATACCAGTCTCCTATGTATATGCTTCTAGAAGGAAAGGTATTACACTAAAGCAATTTTAACAGAATGTTTTTGATAGCTCTTATTAGCTAAGCATATGCATATACTGGGATCTTTTGATTTCCAGTTTCATTGTACAGAACTTTGTAGTAAATACTAGCTGACTGAAGTAAAAACTGTTTGGAGTTATTGATAGTGTCATTCATTCTTTGACTTGCATATTCACTTGAACATATGACAATGATAGAAACAGTGAAGGTGAAAACTTTTGCTAAAGAAAAAGTAAATGAAAACAAGAGACTGCATGGCCAACATGCAAGTAATGTAAATATATAAATACTGAAAACATTACAGGGATATATTTAACCATTATAGTTATGAGTATTTAGTTTACAGATGAGCCAGCTCTTCTACAAATTCATGATTTTCTAGAATACAAGGAATCATAAATGAGTCTTTGGTCTCTCTTACAAAGATGGGATCTTCAATTGGTGAGAGTTAAAAATGAATCGACTAGAGCATACCTAATTTAAACATAGCATCTCACTCAAACAGTAATTTTCACATTTTAACAGGATAACATTCCTTCTTTAAAAATGAGACTGCAATACATTAAAACTAGATCACACTTGTTTCAGGATAGAATTTTAATATATTTGAAACACCCTTTTACCTCACTGATAGTCTTAATAAAAAAAAAAATTCCCTCCATGCTTGATATCATGCATTTATCCTTTGGTGGCAATGCTGAATGAATGCTGAAGAGAAAAAATGAAATCTTCCTCCCTTTTGACAATCCTCTATGAAGATCAGCAATTTTAGAAAAATAATAAGCTCATGTTTCTTTTGAGATAAAACAAAAACTTCTAAATCTCATTTGAACTTCCTGATATCAAATATTTAAAACTTACATAAAAAAGAAATGGGAATATATGTACTAATACTAGGAAATATGAACACGACATTCAGAAAAAAGCAAACAAACAAAAAAGATACCTGTACTCTGTCAACGTGAACTTTCACTCCTCCAACAATTCCCTTTTTAAAGGCTGCCAGCATATCTAATATTGGATTGAATCTGCTCCCTCTAAAATTTTAAACAGAATTGCATTAATCCTGTAATTAGGTAAAGTCACATTACAAATGATGCTTTCCTCTCTCTCTCTTTACCTTATATTGTCTTCACGGATAAGTACAACAAACAGTGGGCGACCATGCATCTTCCAGTACTGCTTAATGAACTGCAGGGCATTCTAGTTAAGAAATATATGTTAGACAGTTAAAAAAAAGAATACACAAGTGCAAAATATCAGAGCACACAGGGTAACTTATTAAAACAATTTCTATCTTAAAATAACAGCACCACTCAACAATCCAATAGGTTACAAAAACCTTAACTAATATTCAAACATTTACAGTTATAGATTTTTTCTGGAGAAGACACTTTCGAGTTTGCTTCTGAGAATAACTCCTACCCTATACACTGATCACAGACAGTAGGAGGTCCTGAACTACATGTAATGACCTAGTAAGTATGCATGGGAATCTGGGTCTTGAAACATGCCACTAGCATGAAATAACCAGTGCAGATTTCTATGCACTGGAAATAGCTGCTCAAGGAAAAGAGATTTAGCAAGTGAACTTTGCCCTGCTACCTTCCCTAGAATTAGGGAAGGAAGGCAAGTTTTAATGTTAGTGCAAAGATGAATTATATTTCCCAGAATCCCAGAATGGTTGAGGTTGGAAGGGACCTCTAGAGATCATCTAGTCCAACCCCCTGCTCCAGCAGGGACACCTACAGTGCTTATATATTATCTCCTAAAGTCTTTCTGCTTTGATTTAACACCAGAAAAATGCCTTCTCACATTTCAATACTGAATTTCCTCCAGCTAAGGCTTTAATAAAAAGATCTCATACCTTTTCCCACCAAGAAACCCTATTTTCCCAAAGACACAAAATGTCTGCTGTACTCCAGCACATGCTAGTTCTTCTGAGTAAGTTCTTTGTTGGATACAGATATTCACTCATACTGGATTAGCAGGATATTCATTTTAATATTCACTACAGCATAAATTCAACAATTTACATATTAAAAAGAAAGTACGTATTATACAGGATTCCCTCTTAGTCTTATATTTCAATCAAAATGCACAGTTTACTCTTCAACAGACTGTTTGGTAGTTTTTTAAATGAAAAGTTACATAAATACCTTTATGTCTTCAATCAGCATCATAACATCCTGAGACATGTAGAAATCACTTAGATCAAAAATGATAGAGTAGCAAACTACAGTCTTTCCTAGTATTCGAAAAATCTGTTGGGAGATAAAGATTCCATTAATCTTTTCTTTAAAATATTTGGAAAAGTAATTTAATAAATGTTTGTTTAATAAAAAAAGACCACTAAATATAAAACCGACATATCCGTGTTTTGGTTCTCTGCTATTTATCAGGTATACTGACCTATATTCTAATTTAAAGCAGAACACTTCATCATCCTGTAGCCTATTTTGGCCAAGTAAGTATTACTGTAATTGGATGTGTGAGTATGTCTCCTCTTAAAAAATTCCAAGTTTAAAAAATACATTTCAAGGACTTCAAAATTTGTGAATAAAGTTACGTACATTAAAATTATATTTAAAATAGTTTTTCAAGTTCAAACACTAATTCCATGTCTATCTAACATGTATGTTAATAACCATAAGATAATAAGTCAACAACCTTTGATGTTCCAAGGCATCCTATAGGTCTGTCTGGTCTTCCAGATAGTCCCAGTTTGTCATTGACACCCAAATGGAAGTAAGCCTGTAAAAACGAATCACAAAAAGTAAGGAAAAGCTTGACATAAGATCTTCCTATAGTCCTCCTCTGTCTCAGTTTCTGTGAATGTGTGCATTTTGCTTTAACCAGAAAATGAGATTGGTAAAATTTTGGTAAAACAAAACAATCCTTCTATGTATTTTTTTTAAAACATACATCCACATAACAACAATCCAACAATCACCACAGTGAAAGCATACTCTATTTGGTGCATTTTTAGTTCAAGGACTACATTTAATTAAAAATACTTAGAACAGAGGGAAAACAACTACTTAATAGAGGCAAGAAAGGAAGATACAAATAGACTGTTCCCTGACAGCCATTCAATTCCATGGGATTCACAGCACTGCAAACAGCCCAGTAAGCTGCTATAGAGGATGTGGCATTTACAGATCCCCCTCCTTCCTTTTAATAACAACTCTGGGAAAACATACTGCTCATGACAGGGAAAGGACAATTCACACTGCTTTTCATTAGTAGAGTGTTGTCTTCACACTGCTGGTTACCAGCAATGAAGGTAAAAGGTAAATGATGGTGAAATAACATAAAACTTCTAGGCTTCATGTGGTGCTGAAGCCTCTAGCTAGGTATGTACAACTGACCAGTGTTAGTATAAGTTGTAATAAGTAAGTTGTAATAAATAAATCACAATGACACAAAAAGGTACATAAACCCAAAGATTCAAGCGTAATAGCTTGATATAAATTCCCTTAGTTATAAAGAAACATATACATAGCTTTTTAAAGAATTCCTTACTTTGACAAGTTCTTTGTGAGCCCATATCTGAATTGGTTCCACTTGCTGGGGTGTCTGAGTTTGTATTCCATATGTGTTCAGAAAAACTTGTAGACTACAAATAAAATGAGGACAAACTTTAACCAGAGATTAATCTTTATTTTAACAGATTAGATATAGCAGATATATGAGCATCTATATTTTCTTTGATGCTTCTTTGGATACCTTGGAACTCAATGTTTCATGAAAACATTCCTTTAAAACATTTCCTTTAAGCAGTATCAGTAAAAGTAAATACCCACCGCTGACTTTCTGCTATCAGAGCCACATGTACCACCAAATCATTTTCTAAAGGACCCTACAAAGAAACAACAAATACTTCTTAGCATGATTAACAAACTATTTATTGTTACAGTAACGTGAATATTTAAACATTTCAAGAATATGACAAACATCTCTTGCTGCATACAAATGAATGTAACTTCAACTGAAGATCCTCTTTTTTTCCCATATGAAATGAGCTTTTGACAGAAGTATTATACCTTTGTGAAAAAGGGATAATAGAAGGCAGAAGTGATATTAACAGATACTAAATTTTTAAAACAAAAAGCAAAGATTTGGCAGAAAACGCCAGAGCATTCTCTAACCAGCAGCCATTTATAGACAGTTTCTGATCTAACTAAGGATTGATCTTCAATTGAACACCTGACAATGATTGCTGTAAAACAAAGCCTGAGCGAGACTGCGTAACCACATTATCTCATCCTGAACATCACACTGTGCCTTGTGACTCCCAGTTGAGGCAGATCTTTGCCTCCAAACAAATGCAGAGGCTGCTCACACCGTACGCACTGACACGACGCAGTTACAGGAGCCACTGGGGGTTCTACACGAGCCATGACAAAGCAAGGGAATCCACAGCACAACCGGCACAACACAAAGTCTGATTTTAACAATTAGGGCCCTGACTAAACAAAAGGGATTTTTTTTTTTTTAAAGGGAGCAGAAACCTTGAATTTCACCTTAAAATGATTTATGGAGTTTCCTCCCAGTTCCATTTTCACTATTGAAAATTTGAGGTTCTTTTAAAGACTTCTTCAAATGAAAGTCTAAACAAAAATCGTCAAGTCCAAGAAAATATTCCCTATTTCTATATGACTTCCTCTCCATATCTGTTGCATAACTATATTCTTTGCTCTGAACTATTTTTAGCTATAAATTTGTATATGCACAACTAGACAATAATACTGAAGCCAAAAAAAGTGTAATAAAATGATGGTTCCTTCATTTCTCATTTAAATCTATATCTTATATGCTGGATTTCATGGAATGATGCACTTGAAATAATTTATCAATAGCTACTGCAATCTTTTTCTGAAGTCATTTCTAATTGACTTTCTGCTGCAACATTTTTAGGCTAGAAGACACAGTTGTGAGAAAAAGTTTGAAAAAAGTATCATGGGTGATTGTAAATAGTGATCTACAAAAATAATAGAAACCAAAACCATAAATAAACACACAATATTCATGAAATAGGGTATATCACCCTTTTAAAAAATGACAGTGACACACAGCATTAGCTACACACACACCCCACATAACACATTTACATATAAAAGACAGTGTAAGAAACAGAAAAAAAGCATTACATTCCTAAACATTCCACTAAACAAATCTGGAAATTGTTGTTAAAAGTTCCCTCTAGGTGTGTTCACATCCAGGTTTATCCAACTCCCCAGACTAAGCAGCTCTTTACACAACCATCAGTCACTGTCTCCCCAAGACATTGCACCAGCCCCCTTGCCCCAGGTTCACCTCTCTGCCTTCCTTTTTCTCATTGGGTAGCAGGGAAAAGGGCCTGCTTCAACTATGTATCCATGCTGTGCAAATGACAAATGTATCCCAGTGTTCTCAGGAGACAAACTTACAAGCCAGACCTTTATTCTTCCTCTCCAGAAATTGTACAAGATGGTTATAAACCATCATGGCAGGCTGAAGGAGAAACACCTGACGCCAGTCCTGGCACGAGAGGACAGAGCAGCTGAGCGCTGCTCTTCTGCTGCAGTCTCTGAGGACAGCTGCTCTCACTGTGCCTTCCTCCCTAGCTCCCCAGGAAACCTCAAAGCTCCGAAAAAAATCCATTCATCCTGAACGTGTGAGAAAGTGGGCACAATATCAGAGCATCGATTAAAATGGTTCCAGGCATATGGAGAAAAATGAGGAAATCAGAAACAGTGTGCAAGGGCAGCAACTGGGCTTCACCTACCTAAACCCCCTTGCTGCTATGAACATCAGCTAAATTGTTGAAAAACAGCTCAGAAAACACGTAAATACTGATAAATGCTTTATGGACAAGGCTGCTTCCACACCAGGCTAACGAAACAGAAATGACACCACAATGCCTCAAACTCTAAAATAAGATTTAACTAGTTTTAAATTGTGTTAACTGTGTTAACTCATTTTGGCTGTTCTCTTCCCAATATCATTAATGGGCACTAACCTCCAATTCCAGGGAGTTAGGTGAAGTCCTCATGAATATTTACTCAGTCTTCAAAGCAGAAGCATTAAAAGGAATGTAGCCGTTGCATGCAGTCAGAGAATTTCATTAATTAAATCTAAATCTGCACATACATTTCAAGCTAACTCAAAAGATAAATTACTCTGCCAATTTTGAGTTCAACATTTGTTGAAAATAAAATTAAATACAAGAGAGTAATAAATCAGCTTTCAGATCTTCCAGTGAAAAGCAAAACAAAACTAAACAAAAAAAACACCAATTTTTATTTACTATTAAAAAACAGGCCTGCTTATATACTAAATTCTCCAAAATAGATTACGACAACTAAAACTGTGCTATATCTTCTCTTCGGTTATGGAAATATTACAAAGGAATAATAAACTAAGCTCTTGTACAGAATCTATTTCAAGAGTTATCCCCTCTGCACAAGAATGCCCTGCGTTATCTTCTTTTAGCAAAGTAAATGGAACACAGATGATTCCATTTTCTTTTTTAACTCATGAATGGGACCCGACAAGAAATGCTACTGACCGTTAGCATTACAAAGCAAATTATTAGTGCACAAAACCTCTTTGATTGCCATTAGCTTCCTTTGTGTTTTGAAACACCGTCTAAAACTAGCAAAGAGAATACGGGGTCTGCACCACAAGACAGAGAATGCAACATGCATAGACCTCTCCTAGAGAAATGCAGTGCAAAATATTTGGGAGGGTGTTAAATTAGCTGAGAAAATATTTCTCTATATGTATATAACATAAATAACAAAATATATTTTAATCCATATTCTCTCTCTGTCTCTCCTTAAGGAGACTGATGAAATTAATATTTCAGTGTTAGCTGTAATCAACATGACTCCACTCCTCATTTGATCCCATTTTCTATAGGAAATGAAACTGTCCTCTATTACCAGATTTTGTGAGTTTATAATTCACGATGTAGCTTTCATTCTACTGATAGTTAATTTGTTAAATCTGGATAAAACTGCTTTCCAAACCCATCCTGAAGTTATTCATTCTGACATTTCTGTGTGCCTGACAGCGGATCTTCAGACACAAAGTCTGCAGGCAGCAAATGGTAAAATACAGCCTCTCTGGTGTTTGCTTTCAGATCACCAGATCAGTAATTTGTGTTCATCAGCTTCCACAGATTGCTCATGCTACCTAAGCAGCATCCCACATTTTCACTCTTTTAGAGATCCTGCAAAGAACATTAGAATACTAGAAAGAGCACTGTTGGCTTACTGCCTTCTAAAATTAAAATCATGTTCAGAACGACAAATGAGAAAAGCAACTCTGTATTTTGGCAGGGTAGAGCACTTACTATACAATTAAAAGGAATAAAAGTGCTTCCTCAGTAGCCCAGTGACAAACTCCATATAAAACCATTAATCATGTTTTTCAATGGCAAGTAGTTACCGTGATTACATTCAGTGCCACCAAAATATCAGAATGTACCTTATATGGAAGTCACATTCATCCTAAAATTATTCTTCAGCATTTTTCTGAAGCTATTGTATATGGCTTCAAATACAAATAAAGAGCCTTTCTTTTGGTATACTGTCTTCCAAAACAAATCTTCCAAATCTTCCCAGCTTACTGCCTACAGGAATTAAATTTATAAAAACAGAAATGCTTTTCCTTTCTATTCAACTAAATAATTCTTTAGCTATATGAGAAAGAAGATATCATTAAGGAAACTGGTTTTAAGTTATGAAAACATAATTAACTAATGTGTGTGGTGTTCTCATTTCGTATTTTTAGTCCATTTCCTAGCACTTTAAAGCAAATGCTTAACACTGATTTTGCATTAATTAACTCAATTAGATAAAATAGCATAATCAAATATTTAGACCAACTCTTTAAGCAAGGTCAAGGCAGTCAGCTGAAACTCACTGAAGTTTGCCGACTTCAACTGCAAGAGACATTTGCTGAGAAAACACACACAGCACATGCATATATGCATCTGCCTTTCACTTTGGAACCTTGTTGAAAAAATCTCCTCTGAATGATGACAAACTTGATTTAAAACCAGGAGCAGCAAACGTTCTGCCCTGATACTAACATAACAGTGTAACAACCCACGTATGCTACCTGCTTCAATACAAACCTGTCGTGGTCAGTACCCTGGACACTCACCATTCCAGCTACATTTTGCTAGAGCACTGCTCACAGGTTACAGTGGCCTTATACACCTTATACCACACCTGTCAAATTCTCCCTGCTTCAGAAGTACTGCCCTGTTTGTAAGCCACTTTGGGAAGTACCCACACTATCTTTTGAAGAATTATAAACCAAGCAAAGCACGCATCACTATCTTACAGCAAAGGAGTACCATCATAGGAGGGCAGGCAACATCGGGCCCTCATGGCATCTTTGTCTTGATCATTTGTTTGTTTCACACTTAGGATACTGAACAACTGACAATCTCAAATCCTCTTGTGCACACAAGGATATCCATAGTAACAGGGATTCCTGAGCAACCTTGATTTAAGTGAGATTTCCATACAGATTTTATAGAAGAAACCCCCTTGAAAGCAAGAAACCAAGAGACAAGAAAACATCTGTCTTGTTCATCAGTAATCTGCTCAAGAATCACTGCCCTTCGAATGCTGACAACAAAAATATTATTATTATTGGTCTCAACTATGGAAACTTTCAGGCAAAATTTGAGCATTTAAAGGGAAAGATTAACAAGCATCAGTTCTATCAGGTTGCCTGCGAGCAGCACAATTACACATTCAAATGGTCTATGCTGATCTCCTTTTATTTTTGGTTTTATGTGGCCAGAATTAGTTTCATTGGTGATGAAGCAAAAAAATCAAAATGAATCTGTTTCAATTATAATTTTCAATTCCCTCAACAGTGTTTAGTCTTTAGAATCCTTACTATATTGCTGAATTTTGCCTACTGTTGCCTAAATAAATTCTTTATTGACCCAGAAACGAACCAAAAGGGAATAAGATAGGAGAAAATAAGTCCCTATGCCTGCTGATTTTCTGAACAAAAATTGGATGGGCTGCAACACTCAGTACAGGGTAACTGTTTCTAATGACACTCTTAAAAGTACGTATGCTGTACAATTTCTGGAGTATTTATAATCCCATGATGTATGAACAAACAACAGGAAGTGGGAAATGAAGTCTCGGAGCTTGCACTATCTCCTATTAACAGAGCGGCAGTGCTGCCGGGTGAACAATGAGAAGCCTCGTTCATAGGTAATCAGACGGTACCAGGCATTTGCATTACCTTGGTAACAAGAAACAGTAGAAAACAAAGGGTTTAAGCAGCATTTGGACAGAACAAGAAAAATAGATGTCTCAAAAGACATTTGTTCATTTCTTCCTTGCAAGATTTTAAGATAAATACTTCATATTTTATGATTTGCTAAGAAATATACAGAGCTAAAAGAGAAACTTTTCAAATATATATTCCTTACATTTTAGTTACAGATTGTCATCCATACAGTTCCTACCTCCTCAATTAGAAAGTTGCCTGCCTGTGGACTACGATCCTGTGCTGTTAATCTACCCACTGGAGATTTGAATTAAAAGGTGCTAATAATTCCTCTTCTTTGAGCATTCACAACTGGTGTGCATGTAAGCCAAACAAGGAACACATATGTGTGTACCATACACAGCAAAAAGCAACTCACCCTTGCAGCTCTTAGGAGCTCATCATAGAAAAATACTTCCAGGATTTGGAAAATTCCACATTTAAGTAGTAACTAATTTAAAGGATTAAAAATAGCAGCTTTCTTCTCACCTTCCTAACCTTTCTTGCATTTCAAAGAAACACATACTTATCTATTAGCACTTATTAAACTTATGTTTAATCTATCATCTTTTTAGAATCTTACTATATAATATTACTATATACTATGTAATCTTACTTACTAATCTTACTATAATATTCCTTACAGAATCCTCCATCAATTAAGAAAGTGTACATGAATTTAGTATTTTCTTAGCACTTTAATTCTAATATACAAAAACTTACATAGCACACTGATGATATTTTTTCAGTCAATGCATTTAAATTGACTTAAGCTAAGCTTATGCTTACCTGATTTGAGAATCTCAAGCTAACATTCCTCTGATCCTGTGGAGGTACGTAACGTCCTATTGGGTCAATATCCTTAGGACTTACTAACTCGTCAGCTGAAAGGAAACACAATAAAAATCAAAATGACTTGAGTACTTGCCACAGTTTCTGAAAAAGATATAGGCAAATGTATTTTATATAGTCGGTTCTGCTAGCATCTTCATTTTAGATCAATTTACAAACTAAAACAACCTGCAAAATTACATCAATTTTAAAACCTGTGTCTTCTAAGTATCATTTTTCCTACAGCCAGTTATAACACTGTATATTTAAAAAATGCTTCATTTTTTTTTCTAGAGAAATAAATATGCAGACAAGATACTCTGCAAGTATACTGCAAAAGAGCATATGCAGACAATATACTGAGCGCGCGCACACACACAAAACAAAACTTTTGCCCATAATTTATGGAATTATTCTATTGCTTTGAATAGAAATTCAGGCATCAAAGACATATTTAGCCCTGAAGAACATAGAGCCTCTGTCTTAAGGTCATATGTTACATATCCATAACCCTAAAACTGTAGCTAAATATCAACGAAGATAGCTCAAGACGAAATTCTGTAAAATAATTAGATATACATGAAACTTGAGAAGAGGCAGTGTAGAAAATGTTCAGTGGAGAAACCTTGGCTGTCCTGAAAGGAAATCAAGCACTTCAGTCAAAGCAGCCTATAAGAAAGTTTCAACAAATGTCTTAACTAAGGCTCATTAAATCCTGTGAGCTATTACAACCTTTAAATAGGCACTTTCCCATCAAAATCTCATTTTGCAGTAAACAGCCCAATCCTTCTTTGATTTTTGCTATAGAGGAGGTCACAGTGCGTTTTCATGTCTCCTATAAGTAAGTCAACAGTTACAATGGGAAATGAACTGTTAGTCCAAAAGACAAACAACTGATTATGGCATTACCTAAATTCAGCTGCAATTCAAAACCAAACTACTGCTTTGATGATGAAAATGCTGCTGAACACTACCCTGTTCTAGTCCAGGCTTGGGTGTGTTTTAAAAGCATAGAGAGCAGAACAGAAAATGCAGGGGCAAATGAAAAGGACACTGAAGGGGCCGAGAGGGAGGCAGGTGCTGCTGGTTGCTGTGCCAGGGCTGCGGCCACCGCCCCGGCCGGGCTCCTGCGCAGAGAGGCAGCCTGAGCCGGCAGGAGCAGCCCTGGCCCCCCGCTCCCGCCTGCTCCGGTCTCCTCCCAGCCGCAGCCCCGCTCCTCATTCCCTTCTCTGCAGCATCCCACTTCCTCCAGGAAACATCCTGCAGGGCCACAGTGCATGCTCAGCTGGTTATTTAAAGAAAAAATATCTGGATTTTGGAAAATTATCACATACACTGTATTAGCCTACAGGCACAAGTTACAAAAACATATTTTAAAGAAAACACTGAACTGAGCTTGAGTGCACATAAGCAAACTTCTGATGTTGTCTAAAGGCATTTAGGACTCTTTAATTACTTATATTAATGTTGATGCTATAAAAGAAATTAACTAGATTATTGCAAAATCAATAGCCTTTTTGCCTCATAGTTTTTAAAGGCAAAAGCTGTTTCCAGAATTCTTTCTCTTTTTCCACTGTTGTTTTACATTGACTTATACTGCTCTGCAATTAAAATATGTAGCCAAAATATTTTTTTCATTGAAGTAGTTATGTAAGTATAGTAATATGACATTTAAAGTAATTTTCAATATTTACAACTGTATTTAAAGGAAGAATTTCAGTAAATTCTCCTCACCATAATCACAAACGCAGGTTTATTGGAATCCGAAGGCAGAGCTTTCTTTATTAACTCATCATTTGTATTAGCAAAAGCTGACAGAATTTAATCCATTAGGTTCTATGCTCTAGAAATACTGCTACAAACCTGTAACCTAGTTCCAGGTGTGCTGAATCCACACAGCAGGATACAAGAATCATGAGGAAAAGTACCAGATAGTTAAAAGGAAGCAACTAAATGAAAGACTAAAGTAACAGTGCCTGTTCAGCTGTGTTAAACAGATAATACCTTGTGTCCTGATATGACTTCCTGTATTCTGAAAAGGCGTCTATTGGGAGGACTTCGAAAACCTCATCCAGACATAGAAATTGCCTTTGAAAAATTGCATCACTGTATTCAAAATGCATGCCCTTTGTTATAAGACAAGCAAAAAGGGGCATCTACTTAAATTGCATGGGCAACCTATTACACACAACCATAGCTTATGCATGTGGAGGGTACCTACTGCTGCTGGCAGATAGTTTCCCTGCTTCCATGGATCAGAGTTACAATTTGAACTTTTCTAGTACTTATCGTATCTCTGTGAGAGGCAATGAGATGTGTAAGAATTGACTCAGTCTCATGTTGCTGCTTTTCGAGAAATCTGAACAGCAATAGGCAGACACTAGGCCCACAGACAGCAGGGAGGTGGGGCTGTGTTCCTGCCCACACAACAGAAACCAGGAGGCTGAGAAAAAATAAAGTTTTAATTGCTACCCCTGAGGGAAGACCAGCAACTCCTGGAACAGATGATGAAAAGGAAAACTAGCACCTTTTCTTTCCAGAAATCAAAGTGTTTGGAGTCAGGCTTTCAATTAATTACCCACCACCACTACCACCAAGCAAAATAACACACAAGAAAAGGATCCCATCAAGGACAAAATTCAGTACATTTGCCAACAGCACCTAGAAAGGAGCAAAATTAAAAGTATCAACCCTAAACAGGTACGAATAGAGTTCTTGATACTTCATAATCAGCACTGCTGAACAGATTTAACTTTGTGATAAAATTTGCAAGCTCTGTTTGCAGCAATATTCAGAAAAGAGGAAAAATATTGCAGCGGACTAAGGGAAGGAAGAAAAACTTTAGAACACAGAGAAAGTTTAAAAATTACAAAGAAGGTAGAAGTAGCTACTAATAACATTTCAAAAAGTGATATAGCATGCTTAACAAGAATAGTATTTAAGAAAGAATGGAAACAAAACAGGTTAGATAAACGGTATTTTGCAAACAATAAATATAACTTATTTAACAAACATTCTTCAGGTATGAAAATACACAAATACTAACATAGGATGAATACTAGGAGATTTAGTAAAGTGAGACTACTGTACAGTACTGTCTGTACTATAAGGAAACACTTTCAAACAATATTTCACTAATTTTAGAAGGTTAAATCAAAAAAAAAAATTTACTAAAGATGAGAAATTTCCTGGTGCATTTAACTACAATATTGCCAAAAATAGAATGCATTATGCAATGAATACAGTGAAGCCGATCACACAGCATACTGGGCTGACTCTACTCTTCCATATCGACAGATATGAGCAGCTCTGTCCAAGTCTTTACTTTTTAATATCCCCTTCAATCTTTTACATTTTTACTAATGACAGCTTGCTTCCCTTACACTATGTTCAGAAAAAAACATACTTAGAACAAAATATACTAACTAATAACTCTTTAGAATAAAGACTGATCTTTCTCCTACAAGAAATATTAAGAAACCCCTGTGTTCAGTAGAATATTTTCACAATTGTTTTGCACTAGTCTTTGATTCCTCTCAAATAAAACTACAAGTTTGTGACTGAAATTCACCATACTATAATGGGCAGCCTTCAAAATGCACCTTCAAATGCTCATCCAGTAAGGGTAAAACCATCACAGACTAAAGAAAACATTATCACTTTTATGTGAGATTGCAGCTGTTCAGAATTTCAACTTACCTTGCTTAAATTTATAAAGAATCTGAACTGTTAGAATCAATTCATAAACATCATTGCACAGATACAGGTGCAAGTGAGAGAGAGAGAGTTAAATGAGAGTAAGCATCATGTTTATGTAATATAGCTTCTCAGCGGGACAGCCATGAAGAAAGAAAACAAAAAAAAAAAGCAAATGAGAAGCCTACCACACTGAGACATTTTGATTCTACAAAATAACCTAGTGAGCTTCACAGTGTGCTGCACGCAGCATGAAAATCTAACATCAAATGAAGAATAAAAAGCAATTTTTGTCTATTACATATGAACAAAGGCAGAGGACACATGCCACCCACACTCCATTATTTAAAACTTAAGCCAATATTTTTGTTCATATTCAAGAAAAACACTAGCCATACAAATATCCCTCACATATGACAACTCAAAACCTGATAGAGTTTGAATTCAGTTTCTTACCCAGGAGCTTTGCAATGATGTAAACTGCCTGTCCCCACAGGAAAAACTTTCCATCACGTCCATTGTTACTAGGAAATCGCTTCTGACTGCCAGGGTTTTTCTTTTCCAGATCAACAAAATCAGCTGGCACATAATAATATTTGGGTACAACAGGACACCCTATGGAGTTGTAAAATTAATACTTTAAGTAAATATATGACATTCCATTTCATTATGTGACTATTTCCCTAATAAAATGAAATGGGTTGAAAAGAAGAAAAAACTGATCCTGAATCACCACTCATTGTTATCTCTCAAAACCACCATTAGTGTAATAAACCAAGGGCTATACCAAATAGTACTTGAGTGAGGAGGAATAACAGCACAAACTATGAAATTTACAGTTATACCAGCATAATTTTTCCAAATAATAAAATGATTGTCACAATACCTTCAGAGGTATGTTGAAGCAAAGGTTCGAGAAGATCCTGATACTCCTTTACTTGAGAAGAATTTCCTCTAAAAACTCCTAAAAATAACAAAAATTAATTCATTTAATGGATGGGGAAACTGCTCTGTGAACTCAATGTTCGTAACAGTGAAAATGAACATACAAACAAAAAATGTGAACATGTGAACAAAACTGGGTTGTTTACGGACTATGATCTCTCCCTTCTTATTTAATGGAGCTGTGTCCCACTCTTACAGAGGTAACCCAATTCAGTTATCAGGAGTTGCCTAGATACTCAGTACTCTAGTATACATTTGCTCAAAAAAAATACTCTTCGCATATGTAGGATGGACAAAAAGGCTTTCAACAGAACCAATATTTACAGTGTAGGAGCTTGAGTTTTATCTATCTTTATTTTAATTACATTTAACTGTAATTTACTCCTTTCATGTCTTTGTGTCTTTGCAGGTTTGTAAGTCTCTCTGTAACTCTGCATGTACTTAACATAACTTACAAGTTTTTAAACAATAAAATGGACAATCTTGTTTACTTCGTTTTTTTCAGTTTATTCTACAATCACCAGTTTTGTTTTACAACCACGAAGTACTGTAAAATCTTTGCAAAAATGTTGCTGTACTTTGTTTCTTATGCACAATTTTAATGTGTCTATTGAGCTTAGATAATTTCATAGCTGCATGACTTTAATACCACAGCTTCACAAAAAATTCAGAACAGTTTTTGCATATTTAAACCATTTTTTGTCTGTAAGTGTTATAGCAAAGAGCATACCAAGCCTTATTGCCTTCAGAAACCCAGAATGTTTCAACCTACTCATGACAATACACTTATAAAAGGAAAAAGCACAGCTTAGTGTCTAATCTAAACACATATGCACATAGTATCTACTAATGAAATTTCCTATTTCATGAAATTATGATAAACAAAAAATCAGGGCAATATTTGTGAGGTGTGTAATTTGTTTTTTTTTTTCTTTATAAGAAAAAGATGCGAAAACTATTTCTTTATTTTACTGCTAATAGGAAAAGATTTTCTTTTTTTTTTTGTTCTTTCCAAACCACAAGTGGGCAGCCTAAAATATCAGTGCTTCTCTCCTGGATTTTGGTATCATTCCTAATTATACGTTCAAAAATACGTTCGTGATGGTCATAGAAGAGAGCAGAGAGCAGATTTCAGTGCACCAAGTTTACTTGAAAAATATTTCACACTCTGAAGAAAAAATACTAAATGTTATAAACTGCAGCCAGAATCTCATCCATTTACAAAGCAGGATAACTGTAACCCTTACTCATTTTCTTATTCAGACTTTATGTGAATTTGGCTTCCATCTTGAAATCTCCCCATTAACATTTCTGGTATGTCTCTTAATGTCAACACAAGGTTTGTAGGTAGTGGTAATATCTTTATTAGAAAAGCTGGCTACATGGAAAAGTTAGGCCTGGAAGCACAGGCCTTTCAAAGAACAACTTGATCAATAGTGTCCTTATGTCCTTCTTTCTTCTCTTCTAAATTGTTTCACTTGCCAGAGAACATTCAACTTGAAAAGGTCTGCTGCAACATCCAGTTTATCAATATACTCTTTCTCAGCAGCAATAATTCCACTGCTCTTATGTTCTGTGAGATTCTGACAATTATGCAAGGCTTTAAGACTTGAAAGTCAATGCAACAGTTAGTGGCACTGCTGCAAACATCAGAAAAGCACATATTGAATTGCATTTTAAAAGCAGAGTTCACTTTAAAAATGCTGAAATACGTGGTGGGGGGGTGGAGTGGGGAGGTATTTTTTCCATCCTGAAGCAAAACTCTGAGTGACATACTTATCACTGAATTAGGGTTTATTCTTCCAGGACAGGAAAATTGTTTTATATTTTTCCTTTTTATGACCCATCTCTACAATGCCTTTATAGAGGAAGAATGTAAAGCCATACTTACCATCAATTATCATGAAAATAAAAAACAGAGGGAATTCACACTCAATGCCATCAAAAAGCTAAAAAGGATTAAAACGAAACATTTCAAAATTTAGGTTTAAAAAAATGCATTTGCAAATCTTACTGAACCTTTTCAAAGCAACAAGAAACAAACATCAATGTGAAAATACTTTAGTACACAAGCTCTGCCTTTAGTTTACAATTTTTGCCGTACTAAAAGCAGTTTCACTGTGCCTTCACAAATGCTACAGCTTGTTTTTAAACAGAATAGTTTTATCATCTACATTTTTATCTCCCCAAAGAAACTGGGATTTTTTTTTCCATTTATGCAACCTTTACTGATAAATACTGTGGTCAAAAGCAAAAATCTTTTCTATTCACTCAGATTATAGTCAGCTGTGAAATAAAATAATAAATAACTTTCCTATTTGTTATGTGAAATCAACTGTGCCCTAAATGTAAATGGAAGCATATGCATTTACAAAACAAATTAACAACTAACTTGCTGATTTAGCAATCTTTCAAGACTGCACAAAAGCCATCTCATTCATCAGAAGCAATTAAGAATCACTGCGGAATTCAATATTCTGAAAACTGGTTTTGCTTGTTTTTATGCTTTTTATTTTTTTTTCTTAAGCTTAAGGACTACCTAAATATTTTAGAAAACCTTATATAGGCCGTGTATTTCTTTACCTTAATTTCTGCTGGTTTATAATAGCGCCGTGTTTTGTCCTCCAGTGCTGTTCTGTATCCATCCCTCAGAAACCTTTTAAACCCATATTTTCCTTTCAGTTTTCTAACAACTTTGTCTAGTGTTTGACTGAGCAAAGCCTCATCATCCAAAGCAAATGCAGGATAACTAAGACAAGGCAGAAGAGCTGCATCAGTATTCTATAGAAGGAAAGAGTAAAATAAGACATTCATTAAATCTCTGAAATCATTTGATATACATAAAGAGACTGTGTGAAATTATCGTGAATTAAATGCACAAGAAAAACTATTAACTAGTACATCACCACTACAGGACTGCTTACAGAAACACAAAAATCTTAAATTCTAATTCTGACATGACATGGCATTTTTTCCCGCTTTTTTCTTTTTGCTGATACGGCTAAGGAACACTCAGTTCAATTATACATTCGTGCCAAAATCAATGAGGCCAACCCATAAGTATAAATAAATAAATAAATAGGATTCTAAGATTGCTTCTACAGCATTCTAAGTAAAGTAATTTATCAATCCAGTTTCTGCTGGAATATTTCAAATCTCTAACAAGTAATAAATAGCAAAAGACATCCAAAAGAATGCTAGTCTATAAAGAAGTAGCTGACAGTGCCTTTTATTTTAATTATCCAGTGTTATATTTCTATTATAACTCTTCTATAAAATGAGTACACTATTAATGTTGGAGACTAACAGTCTGTTTCATGTGCAAAATACTATCAGGTCCCGTAACAAACAAAAACACATCAACACTCTGCTATCAATCATTTTAATTTACTGACTTTCAGAAATTAAAATTACCTTTCGAAGTTAACACTAACATAGAAAATCTTTTTGATAAATCTGTATGTATGTTGCTTAAATTTACTTGCTGATAAATACTTATTTGTAATAATAGTTTTATAATGAGAAGAAATCTTCTATATTTTTCAATTTATAAAGAGCCTTTTTTTCCTAGATATAACAAATTAAACCTGAAAGAAATATAATGTTTAAAAAGTAAAGACACTGAGTTTATTATGGAAATGATTACAGAACTCAGTGATTAGGCCAACTCCATCACCGGAAAGACTGCAAACTCCACTTAATTTATTGCATTCTGACCTAATATTTTATGCCATGGTAATACCATTTCAGAGAAGCACCCATAGCACGGTGACATTTAAGAAGCAAAAAAATCTAAAGTCTTCCCAACAAATTCCTGTTATTAATAAACAGAATATAACAGCTATCACGAAGCTAACAATTATGTTCATAGCAATTTACTTTCTTCACACTGTTGAGGTGAATTCCATTTAACTACTTACATGAGACCTTGACTCCCTGGGTAGCAAAGAACACAGAGTCTGCCTGTTACGGTTATGGGCATCAAAATCCACAAATATGACAGACCAAGAGCAGCCCTGTAAATAAAACACAAAATTAATATAAAGGCAAGGGAAGATAAAACAGGATTGCCCGGTGAAACTAACTGAAAGTAACTTTGTTTTATTTAGGTTAATCTGTAAAAGTCTGGGAGCTGACAACTTTAACAAGAAAAAGAATCACAACACAAGTTGAATCCATTTTAAACTTAAGTACAGGTAAAAGATTTTTTTAAAAGTGAGAGAATTTCAGATAATAAAAACTTTAAGTTTTTTTTTTTTTTTTGTCTACTAGCAATTACGAATGTAACACTCATTCAAGCTATAAGCTCTTCCATTATTTCTTGTACAGCAGGGAATGGTGACTGCATTAAGAACAAAAAAGAAAAACCACAGTAGTTGCTTCACTCTCTGTCTGTAGCAACTGTTCCAAGTGGTAATGCTGAATATTTTATTACAAGATAGAAACAAATACTTGGATATTCATCAAAGGTATCACTTTGAAAAAGGACATCCATAACAAACAAAAAAGTCTTGCTTTTCTGACGTTATATTACACTTCATAATACGCATATCCAACTCACTTCTCAGGAGAAATTCAGGAGAAATTAAACATTTAGTAAAAAGTACATGAAGGATGGCGATGCTGATCTTTTCATAAAATTGGATAGTATCTTTTACGTGAAGACCATTTTTCCAGATTCTCTTACAGGGCTTTAAGAAGAACAAAGTCTTGAAAGCCTGAAAGTTTTCTCAGCAAGAAACTCAACTGCAGTTTTAAATAGCTGGCATGCATTTAGACAGTCTATTTTCATTGTTTTCCTACAGCTTTATATGAAATTTAACCTCAAAATATCCAATATATGACAGGCAAACATATTTTATATATAAGAACAAATTATTTTATTTTTATTCTCATCACAGACTGAATAAAAAGACCTTTCCGGCTCCAGTCATTAAGTCTTTCTAAAAGCCAGGCTACCCCTAAGTACTACCCACTTGTCTCTAATATAGAGTCTAATACAGAAAACTAATATAGAAAAAAATAGCTCGCACAAATAACTGAAATTACTATAACAAGATCAAATTTGAAACAATGATCATTTTCAAGTGGCCATTTCCCGTGTGCAAATGCTCCCACTAAAGCAGGAGGAGAGAAAAGGTTTCCTATGCCACCATTCTTGCTATGCTGTTGACCAAGATCTGGTCTTTAAAGAAGAAACTGAGGATGCCGCCAGAAAATACTTTTTTGAAGACCTGTCACAGAGGAATTCACTACAGCTACGACTTCCAACTCTCAGACCATTCACTTTGGGGGAACAAAGCATTCTGAAGAAGTCAGAAGCGAAATTTTCAGTCAGCAGACATATCATCTACGGAAGAATTTAGGACACTGATGTAGTTTTGAATTTTGAAAGCCATTGCTCTAGGAAGATCAATATTATCAACATCTACTGCTTGGCAAATCTCATTTTCCCATAACGTTCTTTAATTTTACACTATATGAGCCAGTTGGCTTTTTGACACTTCCTGAAGCACTCAGAAAAAAATTCCATAGCTGAGACATTGTTTAATCTTTAAACATAAGCCACATTTTAAAGGGGAGAGCAGCAGGCAGTTTCTTGGAAACCCTATAATTACCAGTAAAAAAAATCCAGTTCACAAATGAACAGGTTATGCAGCTAAAACAGAATTCTTGCAGTACACTTGGGAATTCTCAGCTCATTAGCACTAAAATTTACTCCAATCTACCTCTGGATGATGATTCATTTAAGAATGATGTATTAATACAAACTAAAACCAGAAGTTTGGGTTAACCATTTTATGCCCATAAAATTTAAAATAAGAAGTTTTGGTATTTTTAGTAGCAATGATTCCAAAGTACTTGGTAAAACTGAACTGAAACACAGCTGCTCCCTTTTATAATTCTTCCATAGCCAATTCCCACCAGCATCAGCAGAAGTTATAATGGTACATGGATATCAGGATTGATCTATGATCAATTCACTACTAAGGGTTATAATAGAATTCTACTACTAAAGTAATATATATTAACCACTTCATAAAGATCTAAAACTCTTGTTTCAGAGATACACAGTACACTGGGGGAAAATTAAGTTTAGCATGGGATATTAAAATGAACTAAATTAAGAGCCAAGTGCAGTCCTAATTGAAAAAGATTATTAATCACTGTACTAATTATTTTTAACTTGTTTTTAAGGTTATATAATCTGTTGTACCTGAAATTGAGACTAAGATCGATCTTAACTTCTAAATAGTTACTCAGTGCATTGACATCACAGTTGCAGTAACCTTTAGAGTAACACAAATACCAGGAGGATTGTGTGAAAACCCAAAAGCAAAAAAGGGAATGGGAATTCTTGATAAATGTCAGACGGTTGTTATCACTGTCAGGACAATGGCCGAGATGCAGACAACGGCAGGGGTACTTTTATGAAGCAGCCCTTGGTCCCCTGCCCTGCCCTCAGGCTCCCCATCTCTATGCCAGTCCCTTTGCCCATCTGGTTTCAGTGCATCCAGTTTCATGCACATCCTTGCCACCATGCTCAACATCTGAAACTTCTTCCCTGAAGCGCCGAGCTGGACTATGTAATATTTCTGTTCCATGAGGGCCAGTCACCTAAATATGCAGCTCATAATGAGCGCATCTATCAACTCTTCTATTTAGCAGCAGTTTGGAACCCAGCAGCTACCAGCAGCAGTCACAGGAACTTTGGGATAATCAATTATTATTTTCTTCAGAGCATCTGCACATGTTCAGTATATTTAACACATTTGATTTAAGTGCAAGTTAAGGAAGACCAAGCACAGACAGTACTGAGGCAATATATCTCTCAAAATTTTTATTAATGTGAATTTGTGTGATTTCTTAATTTTTTCTTCAATCTTTCTTTTTCATCATTTCTTAATGATGATTTTGTGGGTTGCACTAGTGCAGGTGCAGACAAAATCCTCTTGAGGTGCTCAGCAGGATTTCTCAAAAGAAACTGGAGCACAGCTGGAGATGAGCACAAAGACTGACTCTGCTGCAGCATGACTTAAGGTCAAAATGATTTCTGGTATGTAAAATCTCTTGGAAATAAACTTCTAAAGCATTTAAACTGGTTTTGATTCAGCAGTTTATTCTGCCATTTCAGAACTTAGTAAAATATCATTTTCAAAGTAACACTCATAGGGGTCGTGTAAGATTAATTTTGGGGTTGCCAAGGCACATTTATGCTGTGGAAGCCAAGAGCAAACTTCCTACTGTTTTTAACAGTACAAGACTGAGCACACAAATCAGCTTACAAAACACTTCCCCTTTTTCTTTAGGAGGAAATGTTAATATAGCAAGCAAGCTTCATTAATCTAGACTAAAATATGGACTAAGCTTTTCAATTTACTTGTAGTTTCTAGAAAGATGCTTACAATGAAACACATTATTATTATAAGTCATGTCTGAAAAGTAATAAATATTTTGCACTGCATTTCATCAGTAAATATAACACAGCTATATGTCCACACACTCTGCACAACTGCAAAATTTCTGCAAAAGAGCAAACAATATATAAGCCTTATATTTTATTTTTCAGTTAAAGATTAAAGAGCTCTGAATTAATTCCACAGAAATAGTAACTAGTACTTTATATGACTACTCTGATCCATTCATTATATTTTACTTATCAGAAAATGAAAACACAAATAACCAAGCATTTTTAATCAAATCATATGGAAGAAAACTTAGAGTATAATTTTGAACTCTCATTCACACATTTATCATAAAGGTTTATTGTATATGGTAGGTCATACAGAAAGCCCTTCATCATTCTTGTTTGCTGGTTTTTTTTGGTTGGTTTGTTTGTTTAAATCAGCTTCTCTCCTTCTCTCTTATTTTATTTATGACAAATCAATTAATTTTATCAGGTTTCTTAATGCTGAATATTTGAAACATACAAATATCACAATCTCAGCGTCAGCTCCATCTGAGTTGCAAAAGAGCACCAGTATTACAGAAAAAGAAAAAAGCTGTCCTTGCCATCAAGAATATATGGATTTTTTTTTAAGAATATATATATATATACACACACATATATATAAAAGTAATATCTCAGATCAAGGTCACAATATAAAATTATTAAAACCTATAAAGATCATATACTGCTTCTGAATAACTGCTTGGCTTCAGAAAAAAAAAGCTCAAGTATAAAAATAAGCTACTGATCACATTTTTTTAAATCAAATTTTGGACGCTACTCAGCCCTAGAAGAGGTACTGCAAAACTAGCATGTTTCATCAATTAACATATAGTTTTTATGAAATGTAAGCATTTGGGTATGTGAACAAGGCAGAATGAAAGCCTCCAAGGAGACACTGTAATATGGAAGGCTTCATCAGTGCACACTCAGCTCACTACTTCGTGGCTTGACCAACCTATCCCTCTCTCCAGATAATTTACAGGCAATCGTAACCAGCAGCTTTACGACTATTTCTGCACAGACTTGATGCTGTTGAACTTTCTGTTCAGCTACACTCCTACCTTTTTTTCCCATTCATTAATAATAGTGATAGCTTGACAATGACATACCGCCTCCATTTTTGTACATTCTCTAAACCATCATTTCTTTTATTTTAGCTATACACTACCATGGGTAAAACAGCTGGAAAAAAAAATTCATGTAAAGTTTGAGGGTGTAGAAGGGGAACCCAAGCCACTAAGAAAAGGGTTTCTTTTTTGACTGACTTTACTGCATCAGGAAAGAATCAGGAAATCCAAGCCATGTGAATGAACAGCAAAAGAAAAGATCCTGCCAGTGCGCAACATACTTAAATTTTAAAGTTGATAAAATAGCAGTAGAGTCATGAACATGTAACTTGTTTAAAGTCACACAAAGAGAGAAATAAGGCAAAGTTTGTATGGAGAGGTAATAGTCAACTGGTAGAACTGTAAAAGATGATCTTTTTTGGCACAGAAGCCCTCTTTCAGAAAAAGATGTAATCATTTAATTTTGGGGTTTTAAATGTAAAAAAAAAAAAAAAAAAAAAAAAGGTAATACTTGATAGTGAGGACATTAATGTTATCGGACTTAATTTTTGTACCTGAAACAGGAGCAATCAGTTTGCGATCTAATTTTTTTAAGCTGGAATGGAATGCACTGTGCAAAGTATTTTTAAAATAAGCAGTGATCTATAGCGTAAGCCATTTCTGCTGTGAAATGAGAGAAAGAAAATATATTTATTACCTGATTGCCAAAGAGATTGAAGCCATTAATTGCTTCCAAAGCTGCTTTTGCCAACCCCACAGAGCTGATGAGGAAAAGAAGGATAAAGAATTATCATAATTCAAGACCAGACTAGAATTTAACATATATTCAACAAATCTTTCAGAGCTATGATGAGTATTTTATGCTTACTCTGTGTTAATAAAATGATGATGCAGCAAGGTGTTTTTTTGTTTTATTTTGTTTTGAATCCTTTTGAGTATTTTGCTTTGTCTCCAAATGTCAGAGACCATCTGGAAAAAAGTGCTTCTGCTCGCACCTTGCTACTGGACATCTGGCATTATGTTTTCAAGGTCTTGCTAATAGTGTATTAACAGACTAATTAATTGTGCTGTGTACTTCTGTAGCACAAATTCTGTAGTCAGTTCTCAAGCATTAAACTTTAAGAGACTGATTTCTGGCCAGTTTTCAATATAATAAAAAAGCATGAATCTAGATTCAAAAAAGAAGGATTTTCTGATGTCAACCTTATAAGTCTCTTACTTCACTAACTCCATGACTAGCATCTACAGTGAGAAAACGCTCCCAACAAGCTTTTAAATTAGCAAGTTCATGTTGTAAAATGAAAAAAGCACTAGCCATATATACTAAAATCACTAATCAGTATATACTAAAAATTTAGCTGTTAACTTATATGCTGTAGTACACAGAAAATATGTGCTAGAAGACTAAAAATTGTTTCACTGAAAGTCTAAGACTACATTTTTTAATGAAGCAGCCTTTTAAAAAGACTAAAAATTGTTTCACATTTTTTAATGAAGCAGCCTTTTAAAAATTAAAAGGAGGATCAACATTCTCTCTCAACACACACATTTTTTAAAGAAAAAATCCAAAAATAAGCTAATAGAAAGCTATATACATTTGACAGATTTATATGGAATTTGAGGTATATTCTTTTAAATAATATACAGTTACAGTTAGACTAACTTCAAATATGTCCACTCTACTGCAATAATAATGAGCTAAAGCATTAACATGAAATGTTTAGTTTTTGTACATGCACTCCAAAATTCCAGGTGTTAAGCTCACAGGGCACAAAAAAGCAAACTATTAAACTAGTTAATGTCCCACAGTGCTAGTGTTTTAAAAAGTAACACACAATGCTACCAGTTTTCTGATGGTTTACTATAAAATAAGGGCATTCTAATTACAAAAACCACTTCAGACTGACTGCTTACTAAGTGGCCTCACAAAACTATGGGAACTAGACAAACTAGCTAATAAAGTGAATACCTGTTACAGTCTCTTAGATTGACCGGTAATACAGACTTCTATTATCAAAATGAAGCTGGATATAATTCCTCCTACTTTATTCATGAAACTAAAAACCTAAGTTATGCCTTTGTCTCTCCTCTTAGCTGCCTATGGCCAGCATATCTTCATCTCTCTGCTACATTTCTATATATAATCACAACAGCAATTTATTGACGTTGTTGCTCTATGTGTACCCTAAATGCCTGCCCCAGCTTCAAACTTCTCCTTTAAAATCAAGTTTCATCTTTCTGCTAAACTCTCAAATCCATTACATAGCAGCTTATCTTCCAAGCAGCTTACAATTAAATTAGGATATTTTTACTCAAAAAAGGATGATAAAAGAGACAACAAAAAATGAGGAGAGCAGAACAACAGGAAAGTGGTGAAATATAGATGTCTACCTGGTTAATTTTTTAAAAGTTATCAGAGCTGTGGAAATATGGTAAAAGATAGGAAAAGAAATGAAAGTAGAATGAAGCAGGCTGACATGACAAGAGATTGAGACAGAGTTTAAAAAAAAGACCATAAGGGTAAATTGAAGTGACAGAACAGAAGTATAGGGTTATATATCACCACTGAAGGAAGAAAGTCTTCAGCCTTAGCAAGATAAAAATCAGTGGAAATAAGAATTGAAAGTTTTATCTTCCTATAAAGTCTTTCCATATAACAGAGAGAAAGTTGACACCACTGCCCTCATGTAACAGAATCATTTAGATGCAGCCACTGTGCAACTGGGCGGAATAAACATGAAAAAAAAACAAACTAAAAAAAGTACGAACTCTAATTAACAGCTGTACTGCTATATACAGATGGTCAAAAAGCATAAAGTATAAGATCTGGGAAAATCTAGGGAAAACAGAAGATACAACTGATGTAACTGAATTCTGGTTCTGATTTCTTTGTTAGTACAGCTATTTCTCTTTAAAAGCTGCAAACAGGGGCTATGTATTAACTTCTTATGCTCACAGTCAGATATTTTAATGGCAAAAATGAAAAATTACTGAGAACCACTAGAGAAGTTGTAGTTGCACAACAGCAGTCACCACTGATAGCCAGATAAAACAAAACTACCTTATCGAGAAAATCATGACTAGCCCAAATACTATTTAAATACTCCTTTAAGAAAGGATATAAACCTTGGCTGAAAATGACATTTAGTCCAGTTTCAACTCTCACTTGAATCAGTCTTGGCTGTAGCCTTGCTTCAAGTCATCTAAAGAAGTTCCAAAAACCTCTAAAAATGCAAGTTCCATATTTTTTTCTGAGAAAATTCTCTGGGGTCTACCTTCCTCATGTGTATTTTGAACCTCTCCAGGTGCAATCTCTAGATGTTACCCTCATGTATCACTGTACGTGCAGAACTTTGCACTTCCTCTTGACCTGCTACTAGCTGAATCCTCATTCCTCCAGGTCCCTCAAATCAGGCACACAAATTTCAGAATCATGCATCTGCAACTGCACATAATTATGGGAATTTGGATACTCAAGTAGCTAAGCATCTATCTTCAGCATGCACTTGATAATGAAATTATAATTCAAATTTTCCAAAAATACATCTGGTAATCCTTAGAGAACCCTAATTTAGTAACTTACATGAGCTCCTACTTTCACACCAGGTATTTCTTACTCAAATCACATTTAATTACTTTGACTGAAAGGTTCTCTCACATACCTTGAATGCAGCTCTGGGCTGCCATTGTTGTATTTATTTCCTCTTTCCCAGACACCAAAGTCAGGTACACGATAGGATCTTTCCACACAAAACACAAGATTTTGAATGAAGGACACCTAGGAGGAAGAACGAAAACTCACTGAAGGAAAATTAAAGCATAATTTCTTCTACTCACATCTTCAGAAAGATGCTTTTTGCAGCTGTCAGAATTGTGATTTCCATCTGCAATTGTTTTCAGAGTATTTTGCTCCCAAGTTCAGACATTCTGTTGGCATTTTATTTCATATGTCTTTGCCACAGTTTCACAATCGGGTCATCATAGTACTCGTACATTAAATCTTTTCAGAGCTACCTGCCACTTTCAAGGAAACAGAAGGTCTCACTCTTTACACATGTCCAGTACTATTCTTTCCTATAATTTAGTTTTTAGTTGTATTAAAATGACCTTTGTTTGAATGTGCCTTCAATATCCAATGATTCAAGGTGGATTCTCCTACTTCTATCCTTAACTGAAATTTAAAAGTATTAGCTAGGTGAAGCAGCAAAGCATACCACACAAAAAGTGATCAGCATGCTTATATATTTCTACCTGCGATGGCACTGAAAACATTTGCGGTGGGGATGTCAGTTACAGATATTTTACAAGACTAAATAAGGAGCTCCAGATAGCATATTTGCAGAAAAAGGAAGCATTTAAGGAGGCAAAGACAAAATAAAAAAAAAATGTTGCCAAATGAAATCTTCACAAAACAATCATTCACATCACAGATATGTAAATGCAACAAACAAGCTGGTACCAAACATTCTTACAGAAATTATGGATTGCCTGTGTTAAGCTTATTTATCCAGATCTCAAGTATGTATACAGCAAGGTGTAATAAGAAATATGCATACAGCATGGATGTTAGATACCACAATCAAGTTCATTCATTTACATAATCATATGCTGCTCTCTTTGCAACGGATGTAAAGATGGAATTAAATTAATTTTTCAACTGCAAACAGATGGAACTATGAGGATAACTCATTGACAGTTGCCGCCTGACAATAAGCAACCTTGTATACAATGATTTCCTCCCCCCTGAGCCCGGGTCCATGTACAGACACATGTGGACAGCTTGCCAAACATCAGCCATCTGTCAGCAGCTTCCACTGTACTAGCACTGGTTCAAATTTCACTCTCTAGGAAAGGAGAGCCACTGAAGTCATGCAATTCAAAACAGGAACTTCAAAACTGAAGGCATTTCAGAACAGGTTAAGACAAAACTGAAGGCATTTCAGAACAGGTTTCAAAAAAAAAAAAACACACATGCATTCCCACAAAAGGATACTATGGCAATCAGTGAAGTCTTATGTGTTATGCACTGACTACTATTGCCTAGACCACTAGTTAGGAACAACTGACAGTTAGGAACAACTTTTTCCGAAGGACTTCAACTGACAGTGCCCACTGCAGAACTCTCCTGCCATTGATGCTCTCTTCATCATTCCCTAAAACTTTAGGGTCAAGCAGTTAAGCGGAATATGCCTTATGGCTTTTTCAGTTCTGCCATGCCCTTAGATATGTTTTAATAATACACTGAAAAAGAGGGTACTCAAGCTGGATACATGAAAGTACTCAGTCCTAGCAGAGAATTTTGGCTATATATAATGACTTCCATTTCTTCTTTAAACAGCTCTACATATTTCTCCTAATGGAGTATTTGAGCGAACAAATCAATCCATTAAAGGTCAGCTGTCTCCTGTGTAAGGACCTGGGGCTGAGATTTCATTCACCCTCTTTCTTGGGCCAATAAATCTGGAGGGACAAGCAGCATCTTGTAAGTGTCTGCAGAGGAAACTGAGCAGATTTAAAAGCTAATTCAAGCAACAGAAAAGATTCTTGATCTTATCTACTGGCAACTCCAGATTTTGAAAAATGCAAAGAATCACATGCATTATAACAGCTGCTTCCTGCTTTGGAGCAAAACCCTTAGTGTTTTGATAGTATTTTATTGCTCTTAATATACAAACCTCTCCTTCATCACAACCATTTTCAGCAGTCATTTACTGTTGACTACCTCGTATTTTAAGAAACAAGAATATACTGTTTCCCTGAGAATTGAAGATCCATCTATTTTTCTTGTGTGTTTAGCAAAAATAACAGTTTTAATAACAGAATTTCTATTGTTCTTTGCAACAAACTTTCCAAGGCAACTCAGCAGCAACTATTCAATAGATAAGAGTAAATTCAAACAAAACAAAATTATGAAAATTGAACAAAAGTCTGTGCTTCTTTTCCAGTCATAAAACTTACCCTAATTTTAGAACAAGACAGCAGACTTGCTATCAGACGTTTCTTTAGTTGGCTTATTTTCAAAAAAGGCTATCCTAGCTATTACTGTATTTTTGAAATAGTTAACAAACTTACAAGACACATGTTAGCATGCCAGAAAACTGCTATATTGCAAAAAACAATGTGACAGAATTTTCTAATACCAATAGATTCACATGTATTTGAAGAAAGTCCTTCAGCTTTCCAGAAAATAAACATTCTTTATTCATACTGATGAAATTCCACAGGACAGTATGTATTGACTGACAGTTTTGAAATAAGGTGAAAATTCAGAATAGCAGAACTAAAAGTTAACCTTTAAAATCTTGATCTTGTACCTTTCAGATATAGCAGAAAATTGGAAACATTTTCAATGTCATGTTAAGTTTGCTCTTCACGTATCTAACACTTTATTACCTATTCATTTATTTCACTATTCATCTCCATTCCATTTATCTTTACTGATTGCCATTAAAAAGTGGAGAACATTTCCAGCATATTTCTAGAAAAAAATCATTTTAGAGTTAGTAATTAAATAAAACCAAGAAAAAAAAAAGACACCTCAATAATGCATGAGTTTTAACATCAGAAATCAATTAGTACCTCATCTGTGTTGTAGATTATCTGCAATCCCGAAGAGATCATCTCAACCAAGTAGAGAAGAAATAATGACACAGCATTTATCTGAAGTAATTAAAGGAAGCTATAATTAAATTTAAGCTTATTAGAGTCAAATAAACAGATAAGTTAAATGTAAAGTTACTCAGTAATAAAGATGGTCTCACAATAACAGCGAGTTAGTTTTTTGTTGTTGTTGTTGTTTTGTTTTTTCCAGAAACGTCATCCTGCTATAATAATAACCCAGATGCAGTGATGCGGAAAGAATTGATAGGAAGTACTACAAGCGCACGTTCCTTCCACAACTCCTTCTACAGTATCAATCTTTAAATTACTTCAAACAAAGATATTAAAGTGATTTTGCTTCAGAATATTGTATTGACCCATACAAAATCTCTTTAGTCACAAGCTAAAGTGTAGCTTGTGTAGTATCTTAGTTACAAAAGCAGTGAAAGGCAAATTAACAGCTGGACAAACATGTTGGCCATGTACCTTGAATTTTTACTACAAATTAAAATTGCTCAGACTTCCAGAAAATTAAGCTGGATGCATAACTAAGAAACAGTTTCCACTACAAAATTACACTGAATCTTTCACTTCACTGACTGTATTGGCCAGTATTCTGAACAAGTGACAGTCACTTGTTTTGGATAAAGGAAAAGTAACATTAAAATAAACAAACACCTCCTCACAGCTATTTCAGCATCTTCTGAACCAGGATGTGCTACACAGTCAGTTTTAGAAGTCTGTCCTTTTCACTAAAAGATATCAAAGGAATCTCAATTTGTCAAGTTTTACACACACACATGCACGCTTTACCTGAAGATGACCATATTCCTCATGAGAGAAGACCTCATCTCCAGTCTGTGCACTGAAAACAGAATGAAGACATTCAGATGGCTTGGGGTCTTGCTTAAATCGCTGAACCTAAAGATGAATTAAGGCAAAACATAAAACCAGATTCGATAATTCAAATGTATTTGGCAACCACAAATTTACTATATAATTCAGATTTTGGAAAATTTCCTGATATAAGCATCAACCTACATGAAACTTAAAAACAAAAGTTCCTAATATTTATCCAAACGTGTATTTTATATGCACATAAAGAACAGAAATATTGAGCCAATCTCTTTTTTTTCTTGGTGAGAAACAAACAAAAAAACACCCATAGATATTTAGTCACCCTCATCTTCTGGCACTATTACTTAATCAAAACATCAGCAATGTTAATGATCATCAGTATCCTTCAGGCAGCAGTTACATTTGTTTAACTATCAATGCCAGTGCATTGTCCAAATTTCATGAGGTTTTCACTGCTGCTCTTATCTTCATAGGATATCTTTCCCCAACAATGAATCATACATAGCATAGTACATGCCCCAGGTGCAAGGCAGTAAGAGAATCCTATTTTGTGGAATTATAATGACTAGTCAATGAACATATTCAACGTATTTTGGATTACAACTCATATGTTCGGTAGCAGTAGAATGAAGCACCTGCATTTTTTGGCACAGAATCATCTATTCGAGTCACATGTCAGTATTTTAGCTTTTTTTTTCAGTGAAATAAATTATACATCTTCCTTCTACATAGGTCAGCCCATATACTGCCTCTAAGAATAGAGTCCAATTTGAATCACATCTGTTAGGTACCTCAGATTGCTTATTACTGCGCCACAGGAAGAGACAAGCATTTATAGTAATCAAGGTGAAAAATGGCAATCAATATATCAACAGTATGACATCTGTGTTAATTTAATGCTTATTATTCATATCAGTGCTGAATATCCTTAAAACAAACCACTGCATGTCAAAGAGAAAAGCAGCAGCTCCACTGTAACAAGACCAATTTAGGTCAAGATATGAGACTATGAAGAAACAGACTAAGACAATGGAGAAATATTTTGGCATTAACAGCACTGGCAATACACCAAATTTGCTTACTATTCTTGATACCATATGCCTACAAAAATATCTTTTGAGTTTATGTGCCCAAAGTGACAGGAACTGTGTGGCAACATGAAAATGATTTTTAAAACACAAAAAACTTCATGTCTTATTAAAATAATCACACGGAATATAGATAGCTAACTATTTGCAGAATTACTGCTAACCGCTGTGCAAAACTAATGCACCATATCTGAATTTTGATAAGGAAAAGACAAATGAAAATAATAATTAAATGAGCTACTCAGACTACACATTACAAGTTAGATTAGACTCCAAAACCTATCCAGTGCAGTAATCTGAAGATGTTTTAGGTCATGATAACTACCAACACTGGTAGTATATTTTTCATGATGAAAAGATTCCAAAACTCTTGGAATGCACTTTCACTGATTTAAAGAGATCTTTGTTGAAAACAATCAGCAGCACTAGGCATGGGAAGGTAAAATACAGGTTTGTTATACATATCATCCCACTGATTTACTAACAAAATCTACCCTTATGTAACATCTGACATTTAATATATTTATTTCCTGATGTTGTACTTTCATAATATACTATACTTGCTAATAAAGACTACAATTCAGTCATTCCTCAGCAAACTATAGAGGGCATGTCCACAAGAATATTTTCTTTTCTTCTTTCACTTTATTTTATACTTTCTCCTAGTGCTTTATATGAAGAAAGAAACAACAACAGCACTTAAGTCTCTTGGAGCTTTGCTCCAAAGAGCAGCATTAGAAAAAGAGGCCTTTCTGTTGTATTCCACATCTACAGGCTTTCCCTAAGCCCTGATTCTTATCTGAATCTACAAAGAAATTTATCAGTACAGAAAAAAATAAGGAGATTTTGCCCAGAGGCTTTATCTCTTACTCAGTTTTGCACAGAGGTATATGAACTGAAAGCAGTTCCTTTATACCATACTTCTATTATTCCCTGAGATTTGTACATGTAAAAATACATAGGGCAAAAGGACCACAGAAAATTGCACTGCTACTCCCTCCAACTGCAGTTCTTAACAGGGCTAAGAACGTAATCTTGGAACCAAAAGAGAAAATAAATAAATAAAGGAACACCTCTACTGCTGTGATGCATGCACATCTTCCAGAAAGCTCTCGCGAGAGAATGCAAGATTGCCCCAAAGGATTGTCTAAGGTTGACAACCTAACATTCTAATTTACACAACATGAAACACAGGTAGTCATCAAACAAAACAAAGCTGACAGTGTACAAAATTTTGCCAAATATCAAGAGTAAAAAGGGAAAAGCTTTTACCTTCCTTCCCTCCCCTGATACTTTCAATTTTACACTCTCATAAGCTGTTATAGTTCAAGCTAGACATTTCAGTACGTGAATTTTAAAATAAGTTCAACTCTCCTGCATCCTCAGATAAAAGTATCTGATGAGATAAAGAAAACATCTCATGCTTAGATAAAATAAATTCAGCATCCTTCCTTTAAACATTAAGAAGGACAGATTGATGTTTAAATGTGATAAATAATTGCAGAACTAACCCCAAGTAAGTTTGAAGTATGCCCTGCAGTTTATTAATTTTGCAAAAGGCTTTATGCCTTTCATACCTTAAAGAATACTGGAACCTGATAAAAATGAAGCAGCAGTTCTTAGCTAAGCCATACTGTAATATTACATTCCCCTATTATATTTTATCTATATTTAGAAGAAGTTAGTTTTTACAGTTTTAATTAATTCTTTAGAATTAAGTGAGTGCTTGTGTCCACTCTACAGTGTTTTACCTTATCAGCCTGACGCATATAGCAGTAGAGAATTCCTCTCATACATTTTATAGCAGAATGCTCCAGTTCATGTGTCCTTCCCTTGTCATCATCAATACGCCTGGGTAAGAGAGATAACTCGTAAAACAAATTGGAAATGCATTAGAAAAAGAAGTAAAGGTCACATTAGTGCTTTGGAATATTAAGTATTTAACTAACAGTATTAAATAGTGGTACCCACATCCATACCAATGTATTTATAGCCCTACCCAAATTTCTTTGATTAAAAAAGATTCTCAGTTTATGTTGCAACTTGCCCAAACATTACTGTTTCAAAAATTTTTAAAAGGGAAAAAAGCCTTGAAGCTCTTGTAACACAGCAAGCCATTCTATTTTGCTCCTAAAGAGATCCAAAATATGAAGATATTTTCTCTTTAGCTCTAGAAAATATCTACCATTCAAAAATCAAGCATACTTTCCTGATGTTTATAGCTGTGCACACAACAGTCTGAATGATATTTACTGTGCATATTCAAAAACACATTTTTCACACCTCAATATTTTCACACCATGAAATTAAACAATATTCACAGCCATTACATTACTACATTCATATTAAAATAATTTTGGTTTAGGCATTGCTTTTAAGAATAATATTTATATATATAGTGGGTAAACAATCCTGATGATTTCATTCATGCAAAACACTCCCCAAACATGTTATAAATTTATACTGAATTGAAAATAAAACTAAATTGAAAAAAAGCTAGCAATAACTTTTATTAAAAATCATAGCACATGAAAAAAAAAGCAGTCATACTAAAGAGTTCTAGAAAAGAACCACCCAACCACTGATTATGTTAAGAGATGCTAATACCCCATGGGCTTAGCACAACAGTTTTATTACATAATTACAACAAATACAAAAATGAAACAATGAAACAAGTGGTTTTTTTTGCTTGTGCAGCCTCAAGCTCTTAGTTCCAACCAAGGATGGTCACTGTTATTTCCCAACTCTCTATTGCTTAGTATAGAAGGAGTCTATGTTCTGCGAGTACTCCATTTTTTTACTGACTGTAACATCAGTTTCGGCTCTTCTTCTATATTTCCAATGAGCAAGAGTATCCCTTCAGCATAGTTTACTGCAATAACCTTTACTTTTAAGAGTCTGCATCAATTCAGTTGTTTCATCATACTGGTTCCAATGAAATTACACAAAAACATAGAAGTAGAGTAACAGTTTTAGACTAGCAGCTATGTAAATATTTTTAGTGAGACTCAGAAATGTGTAACATCTCTACAGGGTTACACAGTTATTTTTGATAAAGCTTAGTCTCTTAGAACTTTCCCAGGGTATTGCATAGCAGAAGGTAAATGGGGTAGAAACATGAATTTAGAAGTTATTCACCTGTAAGCAAGGGCTAATGCCCAGGCGCATGCAGCACAGTAAAGACAGTCTTGTACTTTTGCCCTTCGGTTATCCCCGTAAGTTTTTGTAGGAAAGAGACCTGTGGTTGGGCTTTGATAGAGTAGCAATGTTGACTTAACTGCAAAAGCAAAGGAAAAAAAATGTTTCTTCCAGTTCATATGCGCTTTTCAGACTGAAACCAAAATGTAAACAACCTGTTAGGGAATGCACAAGGTAAGGAGATACAAAAAGTATATTCTTCCATGTTAGCTTATTTTATCTCACTCAGTAGAGAATTTTTCTTCAGTAATTTTCACTTAACAGCACACAAACATTTTTCCCTTTTTCTGAAAAGAGGCTGTAGTATGTCGACTGCCCCCAAACTGATTTAAATAGATTGTATCAATGTGTTAAAAAAGGGGATAATTAAGGGAAAAGGATAGCTGCAATTATTTAACTCAATATCTAACCATACAAGCAATATGTGAGACAACAATTTTCAGGCTGGCAAAAGGGAATTAATATAGTAAATAGTACTTACTGTGATTATTGCTTATTATGAATTGCATCCAAAAACTAAACAATTGACAGGGTGCTACTAGGTACATGGTCTTTGAATATGACACTTCTAATAGGTTCACTTAAGACACAAAAGCACTTTCTTCAAAATATCATCAAGCATTAATTAAAAATCTTCCTAGCCTTACATCTAGATTGGACTTCCTATACATACTTCTAATATTCAGCAAAAAGATACAGTTCAATCAATTCATGTTTGTGCCTTTCAAACTCCCAACAGAAATTTAGGAAACTGTTCTCAAGTAGGAAAAAATCAAAGTTTACTACTGCAAAGGGTGGACAAGGAATGATGGATGAATGATATTTAACATGTAAACATCAACTACAATTCGTACCTGGGCTACTTAAAGCATTATAAACTGTGAGTAGATCAGCACAATTCTCTACATCCGAGACCATTAGGAATCCATTTTTACCATTTGAGAAAGCATTTAACAGCTGATAATTTTGAACACTACCTACAAGTCAAGATTTTTCAAGCAATGTATGATTGCAAGTAATATACGTATGTATATGTATGTGTGTATATATATATGCATTATATTATCACAGGAATCTTATAAGGAATTGTATTGATGGATCCTTGCACTTTTTGGAAAAGAAAATAAAAAAATCTTAATAAAGACTACAGCTATAGGATATATTTTACTAATTTACACTTAAAGCCTTCCACAGTAGGAAGAATTCTTAAATTTTACTTACCAATTCTGTAATAATTGTCCAATTTATCCCACAAACTTTCCCCCTCTGGTCTTGGAAGGTTAATACTTTTAAGTGGCTCATAAATTGAACCTAAAATAGAAACAAAATGAAAGAAGAAGGATGAGAATTAGTTTTACAATTTTTGATACTACTGAATATCAATAATAAAACCAAGTAATAAGGTATCTTTATGTTTGTGCTATACACATACATTTTATTTAAATTCAGTTTGAAAAAGAAAATCTTAC